ATTTAAGCCTCAAGTCGGCAGGAAAGAACACGTCATAATATATAATATATATTGTCTATGATAGAAAATTACACACTCCCGACACCCTTTTAAAGTTAGCAGCACAACTTTATGTCATCAAAATTTCWCCCCTATGAAAAATGCCAAGCGTGATTTGTTGGACATTGTTGGATCAATCTGACAAATTGTTGGACATTATTTTTGCGGGGAGAGCTTTTTTCTAAGTTGTGCTGCCTGCAAGGTTGAAAAGGATCTCCCCGCGAAAATAATGCCCAACAAATTGTCAGATTGGTCCAACAATGTCCAACAAATCACGCTTGACATTTTTTATAGGGGTGACATTTTGATGACATAAAGTTGTGCTGTTGTAGTATATTTGGCAGCTCAAAAGTGTCGAAAGCTCTATCGGCGAAAATAATATCCAACAAATTTTGAGATTGATCCAACAATGTCCAACAAGTTTGTTAGATATTGTGTTTCATGAGTGTCTGTCATAGTTGTGCTGCTAACTTTAAGGGGGTACTCCCGATAGCTAATGAAATGCAACTAAACATACAGTACATTTCTTATCGCCAGTAAGTTGTACCACAGAACAATGGTTGTACCGTGGTTGTATGAAAAAATATATAATAACATTAATAAAATAAAAATAATWACTATAGTATTATTAGTATTTACTATTTTATGATGTTAATTTTCACTATATTACTATACCTAATACCTATTATGTATTTATGTTTATGATAATTCGCGTGCAATTCCGAGTTAAATTCCCCTAATGCTACCGAATACCAATTACTCAATACCCATTACCCACAAATAACTGCAAACCCCTTAGTAACATCTCTGTGATCGGTAGCTTATCATCCGGACTGTGATAGTGTGATGATGATACGATTTGTAAACACAACAACGGACGACGCCGATAGGAGGACTACTATATARGTAGCAACTACTAGCAGGTTGTAGCCCGTAGAAACTATCAAACGTGAAACGACTACGTATGTTGAATGTTGATATGTGCTATGTAGGTGTATGCCCGTAGACAATAATATTATTATAGTGACAATGTGAATTATTTAATTTTTCTAATAGTCATACGCATTGTTTTCGTCGCCATCCAGATGCCTTTGATAAATTACCTTTGATCCAGCAAAGCACCAACACGATGCCCCTAGGACATGCAGTGGTCGTTTGGGAATGGGAAAACCGGAATGGTCGATGGAAACCTCACAGCCCCGAAGTGGCACAATTACTCGAAAGGGCTCATTTCAAGAAGTTGACCCGGGTGATACTGAGAGACGCCGACCCGAACATGGAGTCCTCGTTTGTTAATTTGCGTACGATGTATCAGTGCTCTGAAGAAAATGAGGGTGAGTTATTGGGTAATGATTTGTGATATGTAGCGACCCCATAGTCTTCATTTTACGTATCGGACATTTAATTACCAAAAATATGTTAACATTAAATTAAAACATTTTAGGTGCACTTTTGGCCGTACGCAGATCTTACTATCCTGCCAATGCATTGCCTGGTAAAGGAGCTAGATGGGAATGGGCTGGTGATGTACCAGGAGAGTGGCATACATATGACATGGAATCCCAATGTTTCCTAGAAACGGCTTGGGCAATGGTGAGCTTTGTAAACTATATTATTAGTTCATATTTTTTTTATTTTTTTTACTCAATTTTTTATTTTATAGGGCTGTCAAATTATAGATGTAAGCCGGACATATTTAGGTTTTCCGTATACAATTAATTTTTGTAATTTAACTCAAGTACGAAATGACAGTGGATATAAACGTAATATTAGACGTGTAAATCAAGCACCGTACCCACTAGTTAAAATACAATCAGATGAAGTTATTCAATTTAATGGTTAGTTTTTTAAACTAATTTTGAAGTATTATTCATTTTTGACATTTTTTCCATTTTTAGATAGGGCAGTTGTAGACACCATAAAAAATTTATCATCAAAAAACGAAGCTATTAGAAAATCCAGTTCAGAATATATAGATACAATAACTAAAAAACAACTCCATTATAAAAAAAACAAACAAGTAGTTAATGATAGCCATCATAGTGGAACTAATATAGCTCGCACTTTATTAAGTATTTTTGGTAAGTAACTTGATTTATATTTTATATACATATATTATATTATATATTTTATTGTATTTAAAAAAAAAAATCTTTAAATATTTTCAGCTAATAAAAATCCTTCGTCACTATCTAGGGAAGCACAATGGCCAATAGGAACCACTGCAACTAAAAGCTATACTGAATCAATTAAATCAGATTCATCCATAATTGATTTAGACTCAAGTAGCATTCGCAGTGGTAGACGTCCTAGTGTAGATACTATTTCAACTTATTTAAGCCATGACAGTCATGAACTTCGCACATCACGAGTAAATTAATTTAAAATATACATCATTTTGATATTTTATTTTATGTCTAGTCAAGTATGTCAAAAATAAATTATTTTAATTTTTAGTATGATCTCTTGGATTATTCTGGTGGCAGTATTGGAAGTGATGATGCTTTTGAATGTCAACAAAAATCCGAAGATTGCAGAAATCAATCAGTTGTTGGTATGTTATAGTTATAAAATATTATACTCTGTATCATGAAAGGATGCATATGGCAACCGACCAAAACAAGTTGTTTGCTATCAAAGTTAGTTGGTTTTTGGTTAGTGCACGTGTATACTGACTAGTTGTTGTCATCAACGCAACTGACAATTGTTGATTCATACATCGAGCGTCATTTACGCTACTGTCTTGTGTTTTTTACCTAGTATCTTGAATTGTTATAATATTTTTTTGCGTTAGTGTTTGTATTTTGTTTTATTTTGACTGTCTGGTGTATATGTTAATTTATTATATCTAAAATGAGCCAAGGAGGTAGTGATAACTCTTMCATCGAACAAGCAACTGCAGGTAATGGAAAAAAAGCCCTGTGGAAAAGTAAAAATTATTTTAACTTTTATGATTGTATTATATTATACTATACTATTTTTTTTTTTTTTTTTTTTTTTTTTTATATACCATAATAGTATATTATATTATACTAATATAATTGTTATTTTAGTATGTTGGCTTTGGTCAAAAAATGATGATTGTCAATTTGTATAAAACCAAAATGGCTTAACAATCAATTGAAGATGGGCCAAAATTGATGGCGAAAGAAATAATAAAAAAAATATCCAAARAAAGTGGTATAAGTGGACAACGGACTGTGAGCTTTACTCTGTCAGAATATTGCAACAAAGGAACTGTAACATCTCCAAACAAGACCAAAATCTGACCGAAAGTAACAGATAAAATTGATGAGTTCAATCAAAATACTATCAGGCAAAAAGTACAAAAGTTTTGGTACAACCATAAAATCTCRACTTAAATAAAACTTAAACAGTAATAAACAAAGATGAGTGTTTGCCGTATTTTTCAAAAATGTCCTTGTATAGAGTTTTAAAACATCTGAATTTTGAGTATGTCTGTAAGTCTTGGAATAGCGCATAAATGAACGCAATGATATTGTGTGTTGTCGTCGAAGATATTTAGAAGCCATTAAGCACCATCAATTTGGTTGACCAATATATTACTTGGATGAAACATGGGTAAACGTAAGCAAAACTAGAACACAAACATGTGTGAAGAATACAGYCAAATCGACAAGGGACGCATTTCTCTGGGGCCTTCCAACTGGACAAAAGGGGGAGGCTTTAGAAGTTAGGGGAAGTGGCTCATTGTTGTTTATATCGGATCATCAGATGCCTTTGTTGCTGGCAGTCTTCTTTGTATCAATACCCAAAATGAACAGTGATAATTTTTACGAGTGGTTCAACAAGATTTTACCATTATTGAATAAAAATGCTGTGATCGTCATGGACAATGTGTCTTATCATTCAGTGAAGATGCCCCATTATCTCCTGGATAAAGATAGAWATTATCAACAGGCTCAAAATTAAAGGTGAGGTAGTTGATCACACAAAAGTTAAATCGCAATTATTGGAATGTGTTAAAGGTTTAAAGCCACAGTACGATCTA